TTAGGTTCTTCTTCCACATTGGAGTAGAGTACCTTTTCACGCTATGGACATGTTTCATGCTTTACTTGGAGTACAATAATGTTGCTTCCATGCGTCTTCAGTATTTAGCTACACAGCGTAGGCGTGCTGAGCAGTTCACTGTAAGTTGGAGCTTCATGTTTAAACATCGAGAGAAGCGTTTCCTCGGTGTTTATAAACTCTACTATGGTTTTTTTTTTCCTTCTCTTAGGTTGTTGTCAGAAACGTCCCTTCCATGCCCGGGCACACAATCCCGGATACGGTGGATCAGTTCTTTAAGACGAATCACCCTGAGCATTACCTATGTCATCAGGTGATTTTGTTGTGCTGAATTATTAACTTGGTTATCAGTTGGGTTAATAGACTTTATTACCGCGTGAATGATGGATCGGATTTTCTTTGTTTCAGGCAGTTTATAACGCGAACACGTACGCAAAGTTGGTGAAGCAAAGAGAGAAGCTGCAACGTTGGTTTGACTATTACGTGCTGAAGCATCAACGGAATCCACATAAGAAGCCTACTTGCAGAGTTAGTCTCTCCACATCATTTGTTTAGCTTTTTTGAAATGATATGATGTTGATTTGTGATGAGCGGCTTTTGTTTTTTCAGACAGGATTTCTTGGTCTATGGGGTAAAAAGGTTGATTCCATTGAGTACTACCAACAACAAATCAAGGAGTTTGACCACTCTGTAAGTGATTTCGTTGCTACTATTAATTAGCGTTAAAAAAGCTTGAAACTCTAATCTCATTTCAACACCTGATATCGATACAGATGTCTTTGGAGCGCCAAAAGGTTCTGAAGGACTCGAAACTGATGCTTCCTGTTGCATTTGTGTCGTTTGATTCACGTTGGGGCGCTGCTGTCTGTGCACAGACGCAGCAGAGCAAGAATCCCACTTTATGGTTAACGAGTAGCGCTCCAGAGCCTCGTGATATCTATTGGCAAAACCTTGCTATACCTTTTATCTCTTTGACCATCCGGAAACTCGTAATTGGTGTCTCAGTATTTGCCTTGGTCTTTTTCTACATGATTCCAATTGCTTTCGTGCAATCTCTTGCCAATTTAGAGGGTCTCGAGCAAGTGGCACCTTTCCTCAGACCTGTCATGAGATTGTAAGTCCAGTCATCTATCTTGGTTTTATGTTTCGTGGTTTATAGACCATTGACCCCATCTCCTTCGTTTTTACCGCAGGGATTTCATCAAGTCATTCTTACAGGGGTTTCTCCCGGGTCTTGCTCTAAAGATTTTCTTGTGGATTCTCCCGACGGTTCTGCTGATTATGTCAAAGATTGAGGGATACATAGCTTTGTCAACCCTTGAGCGTAGAGCTGCAGCAAAATACTATTACTTCATGTTGGTTAATGTGTTCTTGGGAAGTATCATTGCCGGAACCGCGTTTCAGCAGCTGGACTCTTTTCTTCACCAATCACCATCTCAGTAAACAACCTTTAACCTCTTTTAACTCTTCAAAGATTCTTAACTTTAAATCTAAACTCATATCTATAAATGCTCTTGTTGATTGGGTTTATACAGGATTCCTCGAACCATTGGGGTCTCCATACCGATGAAAGCTACATTCTTTATCACATACATAATGGTTGACGGGTGGGCTGGGATTGCGGGAGAGATTCTTCGGCTAAAGCCCCTCGTTATTTTCCACTTGAAGAACATGTTTCTTGTGAAGACCGAACGAGATAGAGAGAGAGCAATGGACCCTGGTTTTGTCGATTTTAAGGAAACTCTTCCATCTCTCCAGCTTTACTTCCTCTTGGGAATTGTCTACGCCGTTGTTACTCCTATTCTTCTTCCCTTCATTCTCATATTCTTCGCCTTTGCATACTTGGTCTATCGCCATCAGGTTCGGTTTCAGACTCAATGTATCACCACTTGCATCTAGTTCTCGTCTAAATATAGGGTGCTTCTTGATCTAAAATACAGATAATCAATGTTTACAACCAACAATATGAAAGCTGTGGAGCGTTTTGGCCTCACGTTCATGGACGGATAATCGCGAGCTTGTTGATATCTCAGCTTCTGCTTATGGGACTTTTGGCTTCTAAAGAGGCAGCTGACTCAACGCCATTGCTTATCATATTACCCATTCTCACACTTTCTTTCCACAAATACTGCAAACACCGTTTCGAACCCGCCTTCCGAAAATACCCACTCGAGGTAAAGAAAAAATCTTCTAAAAACATTCTCAGAGGCACATCCTTCCTGAAAAAAGAAGTTTCGAGCTTTATTAGGGAAACCCGTGTTTATAATCGTCTTCTTGAAAAGAGTTCCGAGTTTTCTCACAAAACCTGCGTTTATCATCGTCTTTCCTTAGAAAAAGGTTTTGAGTTTTCTTACTAAAACCTGCGTTTTTTGGTGTTTATTGCAGGAAGCAATGGCGAAAGACAAGCTGGAGAAGGAAACAGAACCAGAACTGAACATGAAGGCAGATCTTGCAGATGCTTACTTGCACCCGATTTTCCACTCATTCGAGGAAGAAGAAGACGAAGAGCAACAGCTCGAAGAGGTAGCGGATGTGAGAGTTGATAAACATGAAACATGGTCCGCTAGTCCTGTGACCGAGCTCGGTACTCCTTCCCACCACCATCAAGTCTACAATTCTTCCTCTCCCTCTTCGCACTACGCTTCAGCTTACGAGCAGTCATCGTCTCAGTATGAGTACCACTACGAAGCTCATAGGCATGAGGAGCATGAGTACCGTTACAATTGATCTCTTGACATTAAAAGAAAGAGGAGATAGGTAATGTTGATAAAGGTTGTCTTATGAGTGTTATAACTTATAACTACTCTGTTTAAAATTTGATTAAGGTCTTTTGGCTCTATAGTCTAAATTTAGGTTATTTGTTGCTGATTTTGATTTTGGTTTTTGAAGCTAGGAGATTGGTGTTAGTGTTGTTTAATTGTATGGAAACAAATTCAAAGATTAATTCCTTGTCACTAATTTCAGGGTTTATTTTTGTAATTGTAAAATTTGGTTGACAGTGAAATGCTAAAAATTCCAATGAAATTTTAACTTCAGAGTACGCTGAAAATGGTTAATTTACAAGGGCAATTTTCGAAAATGTTACTCCCTCTATCCCATATTATAAGATGTTATAGAGTTTTTTTTTCTTTTTCAAATTATTAGATTTTCCCAAATTTCTATGCATATTTATTTATTTATAGTTGAAAAATAATTAAAAAGATTTTGGTCAAAGAAGTTCAAAAGTTCCAATAATTCAATCGGTTTTAACATATGTTGAAGTCAAAACAATAATTAGTTTTATCATTATTCACTAATTACCAAATAATATTTCAAACTCATTCTACTGTTACATATATTTTGTTTGTTCCACGGATACACAAAATAAAAAATCTGAAATTAAAAATGGAACAAAGAGAAGTTATTGAATTAGATTTAAGAAAACAAAAAGGAATATAGAAATGGGGCAATTACAAAAATGCCACTTTTTGTGTGCACATTTGCAAGAATGCCACTTAGGGTGTCCATTTACAAAAATCCCACTAATTATATATTTATAAAGCCTATATCTTAAAATTCTAAACTCTAAAAAATGTTTTGACACCTAAAACCCCCTTAAACACTCAAAACTAAACCCTAATAGAACATAATTAACCCAAACATAAATAATATAAAAAAATATAATTTTGAAAAAATGGCATTTTTGTAAAGATTTCAAAAGTGTGACATTTTTGTAAAGTGACACTTGAAAAGTGGTATTTTTTGAAATTTCTCTATAGAAAAGTAGTTATAGGCATTTTCGTGTTTTTTTTTCTTTTTTGTATTGTTTTTAATTTGTTATTAAATGATGTTTTTATAAAAATTAAATTTCCTTAATCTGCGTGTTTTTAAGTAGAAAATCTTACATTTTGGGACAGAGGGAGTACATATTTATGTTTCGTGTTTAAAAATTGGTATCAAAATCGCAAAATTCTAAACATATTAAGATTATTAAAGTTTAGTTAGTACTACTAAATCTAAAATTTGTGGTCCTTTTGGAACTTTTCTAAAGTGGTATACTTGGAAGTAGTATTTATATTTGTAAAATTTGAAGATATTTTCTGATTAAAAATTATCCAAAACGATTAATATTTAACTAAGCACAATTTTCAAAATATTTAACATTTTCTGTTTTGTTTTCCAAAATTACAACCAAATTTTGACGAAAGATTTGTAAAATTTTGAAAAGAATTCGTAAACGAATGTAGTAATCCTTGCTAAATTTCTAAAACTTCTAATAAACCAAAAAGTTATGACATTTGTATATTAAAGTTTTCCCGCCAAAAAAATTATATATTTGGGTCATTTTGGTGTATAATAAAAAAAAATTAGAAAATAAGTAAAAGTGAGGTATGTGGCAAAATCATAACCATTGGATATAGAGATTTTGGTTAGTTTTTAGATTATGATTTTTTTTTGTGTTATTTTTGCTATTTTTCCTAAAGTTTTTAAAATATTATTATTGTAGATATTTTCCTTAACGGAATAACCTAACTCAGACAAAAGTCGCTCATCTTTATTGATAGCACTTTGTCTCTCGTCCATACAAAATCTCGTAATCCAAAATTCCAATCACAAAAGTCATTAATCAAAAGATGAAGAAGACATTGATGTGTCTTCTCTCAGAATCACAGCCACGTCGTCTCCACTTCCATGGCTACTCTTTTTGCCACTCCTCTCTTCTCTCCTTTAACTCTTTCCCAAGCAAGAAACCGCCATTTATGTTCTACAATCCGATGCGATTCGAAGCATGGTCAGAGTTTCGAATCCAATGGAATCAAAAAGCTGAATTTATCCAAATTCCGTAAACTTGATGTAAAAAAGAGTAAGTTTCTGCAAATGGGTTCTCAAGAGATGAGTTTTGAGAGAAATCTCTTAGTTCAAGCCATGGATGGTGCAGGAACTGGAAACCCATCAACGATCTCTAATAAAGTAAGCTTAAAGATAAATAATTTTGCTGTTTTCTCTCTCTCAAAATGTTAAAGTTCGTTGTTTTAATGTTTATGCACGCCAGGTGTTTGGGATAACGCACTTGTTGGTTTCACTTGGGATCATAGTTGCAACAGATGTGTTTTTGAAGCAGGCTTTTATAGCAGCTTCGATAAAGTTCCCAAGTGCTTTGTTTGGGATGTTTTGTATTTTCTCTGTTCTTATGATATTTGATTCCTTTGTTCCTGTTGCTGCTACAAGCTTGATGAATTTCTTCGAGCCTGCGTTTATGTTTATCCAAAGATGGCTTCCTTTGTTCTACGTTCCTTCTCTTGTAGTTCTTCCTCTTTCCGTCAGAGATATTCCCGCGGCTTCCGGTGTCAAAATCTGCTACATTGTAGGTATATAATCTCTTGCTCTTTTGGTAGTTTTTATGGTAATTTGTCTGTTCTCGTACTAATTCGATGTTTAATGATTTATCGAATGCTTGTGCAGCTGGTGGATGGTTGGCGTCTCTTTGTGTAGCAGGGTACACTGCTATTGCAGTGAGAAAGCTTGTGAAAACTGAAATGACAGAAGCCGAACCTATGGCAAAACCTTCTCCATTTTCGACACTTGAACTATGGAGTTGGAGTGGGATCTTTGTCGTATCGTTTGTCGGTGCTCTGTTTTACCCTAATTCATTGGGGACAAGTGCAAGAACTTGTCTCCCTTTCCTTCTTTCTTCCACTGTCCTAGGTTACATTGTGGGCTCTGGGTAAAAATTCAAATCCTCTCCTCGGTTTACGAGTCTCGATAACTTTTTAGTTTTTCATTCTCTTGTCTTTCTTTTTTCTCCAGGTTGCCATCTTCTATTAAGAAAGTTTTCCATCCGATAATCTGCTGCGCGTTATCTGCAGTTCTCGCTGCTCTAGCTTTTGGTTATGCTTCAGGATCTGGACTTGATCCTGTTTTAGGTAAAGTCACATAAACTAGAGAGAAACAAGACCTAAAACAGAAAGTAAAAGCCTTTATCTTCACTACTGTTTATATGGATACAGGAAGCTACCTTACCAAAGTAGCGTCGGATCCGGGTGCTGGTGACATATTAATGGGTTTTCTTGGTTCTGTCATTCTCTCTTTTGCTTTCTCCATGTT